GAACAAATGTCGCCAGCTTTACCAGTGAATTTAACGTAATTTATAAGGTGGAAGTATCCATAGTTTCGCACCGGTTGCCAGCGCTGTCGAAACAGGCTGACTGAAGATTTATAACTGTCTCTGTTACGCCGCTGCTATTTGAATGTAGTCTAATTAGACGTTTTGGTGTCTGACGAATAAAACTAATCAAATGAGGAATAACTATCGACTGTTTAACTAGAAATCACGTTACATATGGATTATCAGAATGTCGTTCTTTTGTACTTGGCATTGGACCATGTTGTAAGGTCATTTTTTTAAATAATATACCAGAATATGCTGCCCGGTTAGTGATACGTTTGGCTAACGAGCTATTCATCCTGATTCTGCCAATTTACCGCAAAAGAATACAATGGGACTTATTTGGGAATAAAATATTTGGTACAGTATATACTGAACTTATGATTTTAACTTTGTGCAGTTAGGCTGCTGCGAGATAGAGTAGCTACTAGAAATTTGCGACTTGGTGAAGGACAGCAACAACTGAATTCAGACCATCTTCCTTTGATGAAACTTAGCAAAGTATCCGTAACGTCTGAAACGCAGACGGTAGTTTTTTACAGATGCAAAGGAGGAAAAAAATTCAGCTTTTCAGAACGCTTCAAAAATTCATACTGAAATTCTCGAACATGGTGCAATGAATTGTAGCTTAGCTATGTACCTTAGAATCGCAGGTTTAGAATTTCAGTGCGACGAAACAGTTTCCTCATAGTTGCAAATGGCCTTGACTAAAAAATTAAATTCACCGACCTCTGGGGCAACCAGCTGAGAGGCCTGGTCGTAGACAATTTATGCGTTATTTGATCTACTCCGGCGTAGAGTCAGTCTGATGTTTATTAAGAGACGGTTAAAATCCCACATTGTGTTTCTGGAGCATCGTCGTAACAAGAGCGAGATGGCTCTAGGGAACAAAACGATGTGGGATGTATCTGGCACTGCAAGTGCTCAAGTACCATGGAATTGTGACCTGCCTTAAACGATCCTCTCTCCAAGGCAACTAGGAGTAGCCGTGCTGCCGTGCCATAAGCCGTGAAATCCGAACGTTGAGGAGCTATGCGTTATTTTGCAAGTAGCTGAGGCACAAATAATACGGACAAGAGCAAAGCTGTTATATTCGTTCTCCTTATACATTGCTTTACTTGATGGCTAACTAAAATTCTGCACAAAATTTTATGTCTGCTTCAAGACCGCTGCCAGTCTTGAAGCCGGACCGTTCGTCAGCAAAGACCTCAACATGTTTCTATAAGATATTTCGTTCATGCTTTAGCGGTCATACGGAAAACCGCATGAAACGTGGTTTCATGATCGACCGGCGAATTGGAGTAGCCAGTGACGTTATGCGTGAACTGGCCCGACGAATTGTGAGCAGACTCAGTCTGAAAACTAAGCTCTCAATATTCAGGTCGATCTTTATCCCTATGCTTACCTACGGTCATGAAGCGTGGACCATCAGTGAAAAACTTCGAACTCGGGTACAAGCTGCTGAAATGGGCTTTCTTAGACGAGTCGCGGGGTGGACCATCACTGAAAAACTTCGAACCCGGGTACAAGCTGCTGAAATGGGCTTTCTTAGACGAGTCGCGCGTCTCGACATGGTCCGGAACAGTGACATCCGGAAGAGCCTTGGATTACAGCCTTTGCTTCTCCAGATTCAGAAGTCACAGCAGCGATGGCTTGGGCGTGTGTTGCGAATGCCTCCAGAAAGGAAGGTTAAGCAACTGTTCCTCTAGAATCCGACCGGTAGAAGGCCCAGGAGACGACCAAGATTACCCTTGTGCAAACATATGGACGGAGTCTGTTCCAAACTCCATTTGTCTTTTGCCGAAGCTCAAACTCTGGCACAGGATCGGGAACGTTGGAAGCACTGTCTGACGCGTCTGCCTCCGCGACCTGAAAGGAGAAGCGGCGATGGAAGATGAAGATGAGATGGTTTCATTATTAACAACGCAAAACGAAATGGTTCGGGCCGTATTTCATGAGTATTCTTCAAGATAATGGGGTGGGTTGACGGACCTCAAAAGTCCTCCTGCATTCGCAGCTACTTTAATGTATCCAGCCAGAAAGCCATCGAGTTTGCCAATTCCATGCCTAAGCGCCAACCTACCAGTTAGGCCTTTTGATTCAATACGTACCAACCGCTACAAACGGCAAAATGACTTCCGAGGTCAGACAACCGAAACTCTTGCCTTGAAGAAGGTTCGTGAGTCGATAGCCTTAAAGTCAGTACTGGACAATCCTATGACGTGCCTTGTTGTTTAGTACTGTGCAATAAACAATGTTTTATGCGGTTTGCAAGATTTGTCTAATCCTATTCAAAACGATGCATGTGGCAAACTGTGTTTAATTCTTCCAAGACTAGGTTTCATGGCACACTGCGCCGTCCTCTTGCTCTTAGTTGCCTAGGACTAGGAAGGAAAGAGGCATTTAAGCAGGCCAATACTCCATGGTATTTGAGCATCTGAACAACTAAAAGTACTTCGTATTGTTTTGTCCTTAGAGCCACTTACGTTCATTACAAACGATCTTCCAGAAGCTGGCACTCCGTATATGCCACCGCAAGACATATTTGTACGCTCAATGATGTCGCATAACGCATAGGCCCTCTGAGCATCCAGGATAAACAGTGGCAATAGAGCACTATGACATTAATATAACTGTCGAACGTCACTGCATATATAATGAAGAAACCATAACCATCAGAGAGATGGAAAGATGTTTTGTAATTTAGCACAGTATTATAGCTTATGCCAAGAATGATATATTTTGGTAGCATCAATAATGGTTCACGACTGCATTTATTTTCTGAGCAATGGTGCTTTAAAGTATAACGTTATTTTGATCATTAGTTAGACACCGACTGATTTCACATCCTGACAGAAATTTTGCCAGCGCCTTTCAACTTTTGTCAAGAAAAAAATCATTTTTCAATAAGTAGAAATTTTCTACTTCGTTTTTGCATTTATGGTTCCCCATTATTCATAGGGTTCACAAATCTATTTGTTTTGGACACTCGTGTTCTGCGGTGGATCAAAGTATTTTCTCCAACAACGAAGAATTTCCTAATCATGCGAAAGAGGGTGTCTGAATTTGTTCATCATGATTCTAAGACTGCTCTTATTTCGCATTAGAGGTTTGCCTTTGGCTACTGCTTTTGCTGTGATCTTACGTGCTTGTAAATACCGTATGTGAGTGGAAGGTTCTTTGCTTCCAAGCCGTTTCTTCAATACAGCCTTCTTCTCTTTAACTGACAGTCGTACTTTCGCATATACCATGACATTAATTTCTGATCTGCAAGCGACAGGCCAATGTGTTTCAAACCGTGGCATTCGACAACAGCCCCTTGTAAGCCATTCTTAAAGAGCTTCCACTCAATTTCCGCGTTAGCAGTCATCTCCGGAGTCTGTTCAAACCGTCGTGCGATGTTATTTCCAAGTTTGCGCAGAGGTCCGAGCCTCTGTTAACGCGGACAACCATTACAGATCATCGTTAGTTACATGATATGATCATCAAATCGATCATCGACTTCTGTGCACAAGTTTCCCGGTACCAGGTATTCTGTATCATAATACAACCTTCGATGCTCGAAGAAGGTATTCATAATGGTCAGTCCGTCTGTGGTACCAAACCGCAACAACTTCATGCCGTTATTGCTGAAATCACTAATACCGTTTCTTTCAGCCATACTCCACTTTTCAGCGTCTACTCCGACATACGCATTGAAATCGTCCATGAGTATGAGAGATACCGTTTCCAGCAGTTCGTACAGAGCCCTTCCACTTCTTAGGAAGGACTTTCCCTCAAAACTAAGCGCACAGACCTGTAAGAAGGTAGAAACTTTGGCCCCTTCTTACGTCAGTCAGGAGATTGTCACTCTTTAGCTGACATGTTCGATTCAAAGATTCTGTTGACCGGAATACCAACACCAGCTGGAGCGTCTGTCGTGATCTTGATATCTGGGTTTAATATCTTCAACCCCCAGAGGTTCAAATTCCAGAGCCTTGGCGCTTCGTTGACGAGAATCCGACTATGTCGAGTTGGTACTTTATGACTTCATCAACTAACTCCTGCTTTTTCCGTCTGAGTGAAGATATGCTGCAGT